AAACTTATTCTTGTGCTGTTTTAAAAATGCAGTGTCTAATTTAGGATTGTGATGTCATAAACATTGTTGTAGGTAGGTTTAATTTTAAAAGACGTTACTTTTAAGTATAAGCTCTAAATCCGAAACCGACTAACCTGCTTCTCTGATTATTTAGCTACACGGTGTTCGATTATATAAATAGGTAGAATAGGTATTGCATTAACACAATAGAACTGATAATTTTTTATATATCTGGATACTATTCTCACGTGTCAGCACTGACCAGTCGGTTGAATATATAGACCAATAAACTTGTTTCAACTCTAATCGATCGATGTCTAGAAATCGTTTTCTACTAGTTCAATCATGCGTCAAGTAATTAATCCTCCAGTAATTATCACTCCTTTCAGCGCGGACGTTTGCGTTATTAAAAGCCTCTTTGACATTAACTTAATAGCAAACATTGATTTAAATTTTAGAGCGTCTTATATTAAAGCCACATCCTCGTTAAGTTAGTCTTAAGTTCACTGCTAGACTTATTACTCTTGAAAAGCAAGAGAGCTGGTGCAATCTGTCTTGCATTATTTAGAGGATTTGCCTCTATCGAGTTATCCTTGTATATATAATATTTCATTACGTGTGTATAAAAATGGTTCTAAGATACATCAGTTTTCATCAGTCCGTACTGGAGGAGCATTGCGGACTTTTTTGTTCCATATTGATCTCAGTTACCTGCCAAACAACTTTAGTAGTCATTTTTTTAAATTGGTTAGAATAAATTAAAAAAAAATAACAAACATCGTCAATCGTCTCGCAATCGATTAGCAATTAAAAATGCAGAAGCATTTTAACTTTTAACTCATAAAGGCCAAAACCCAGCAGCAATATTCTATTCTTTTATTTTACGCTGCTATTCAGTGAGAGCTCTACTTTTTGTTTGACTTTGTTTTTTTTTTAATTTCCGGCGTCTCGGGTGCTTTACAGCATTCATGGTGACAGGGTGTTTTACGTTATGATGTCCGACATAGCAACCGCTGTATTTTATCAGTTTGAATGTTATCAAGAAGATGCTGTTATCAATCTCCGGTTTCAGTTTTCCCACGCCACTGCACGGTCGCACTCTACTTACTTATGTGACTCGATATAATATGATAAAATCTTCTAATAAAGAAGCTCAGCTTAGAGCTTTTTTAAAGTTTTATTTTGAGTCCGTATTACGTAACTTCATCGCACAGTTCGAACGTATTGACCCAGTTTATCATTAGATAGGTAGCAACGAATATATCGATCTTCAATATATCCGGCACGTAACTACAGCGGTTGATACTTATACTCCATTAATTAATTATTAATTTATTACCCAACTTAATTTAATTTGCATTTGGTTCTAATTTCTATTACTGTTTTTATTTGAAATTATGATTTGAAAAATTATTGAAATTTAACACAATTTCCATCTTCGGATTTCAAAATTCAATGATAAAAACATTTTTATGTGTATATTTAAAATATAATAGTAATTTATAATTATAAAAAGATATACTTAGGTACTACTTTATCGAGACAAAAGCATTTCAATCCTTGTTAAAATAAAACAACATGTGGACTAAATGTAACCGCGGCTCCACATTATCGCCGTGAAGCTCCGTTTTCGAGGGATTCACGCGCGTTCACGCCTGTTCCCCGATCAGGGTCGGTATTTATCCCGCGACAAAGGGTTCACGCACCATTGCGCGGCGTTCACGCGTACACATCCACATTCACGGCTCCGTGCCAGCTCGTTTCGGACTACAAAGGCGTAAAGACGATGTATTTTAGTCATACAACATCTTCTTTTTTCGAACGCTTTCTTATAAATTTCTTGTTTTGGACGTCTAAATAGTGATATGTTGCCACAGCGAATAAAGTTATTGCAGCAGCAGCTTCTACGTCCTTTTCGCGGCGGGTTTCACGAACGATTGTGAGCATCCCGTGACCCGTGAATGTGGAGGGCACGACTTGTGCCGTGAATTCATGGCGTGAAGTCGCGCGTGAATTCACGGCCATAATGTGGAGCCGCCATAACAGACATTGTATTCGATAATATAAAAATCTTATTTGACAAACATACAAATAGCGATTAACGAATGTGTTGGTGAATCATATTTAAGGCGACGTCTGTAGACATTATTATATGATACCCAAAACAACTGCAGGTATAACGCACAACGCTGTATGTGTACACATAGGTATATATGTGTACATACATATATACATTCAGTTGCATTAATTATATGGCAACCCTACTAGAGTTTCCTCGTGGACGGTGTTAGGCCAAAGAACGGCTTGTGTAATGCGTGCTTGCCTCCCGTGACGCATCCGCTCTTGCGAGGCTGTCGACGCTGGTTCGTTTATTGTAACACCAATATTTTAAATTGACTAACGAATTCTATCTGCTCAACTATAATAAATATGATTTAACCTATATTAAAATTATTTTAAGTGTTATAAAGCACATTAGTTCCACACGCGCTATTTGCATGTAACTTGAAAATCTTATACAGTTCTAAGAACGTATAGAGATGTAAGAATGCAACGATGTTGCCACACTCAGTCTTCAGCCTTGACAGTTGGCTCTTTCTGGCAGACAGATCTCTGGCAAAGACTTTGGAACCCTGGTTCCGCTCGATCGCTTCTTTAATACGAGCAGTATTAAAGTTGCGTAAGTCTCGCCGCATGCATTTGGAGATCTATCTGTTCAGTTCAGAATAAAATATCAAGTTTAGTTTAAATATATCCCGTTGTACGGAGATAGCTGGGTTGACGGTCGCAGCATCTGAAGTTCTAGTCCTAGTCGCACCCTATGACGCTACTAGGCTACTACCAGCTGCCAGTCTGGGCATTTGACATCTGGCGGAAACGAGATAATATATCGAGATATCTTAGAAGTCATTAGATGTAGACATAGACATAAACATACATTTTATTAGCATCAATACACTCACAAAATATAGGTACATTTAGAAGTATACAAGAACATAAAATACGTGGTAGAGCCATCCTGCAACTATATTAGTAGTATAGTTGTATCACGAATGGGTCGGTTCGACCGGGAAAGTACCTACCACGCTCTCATAGAATACGAGCGTAAAATAACAGTGTTTCGTATGGTGAGTGTAGAGAACCGGAGACCCTTTTTACTGGATTCGTATGGTGAGTGTAGAGAACCGGAGACCCTTTTTACTGGAAACGAGGCATTCCATCTTAGTCCTCGCGGGTGATAACGCATTTGCATTTTAATTTGTAATCGAGGATAGATGTAGATGTCTATGGGCCACAGCAACCACTTACCACCAAAAAAACCACAGGTTACAAGATGGAAAACATAAATAAAAATAAACCTCAGCAAGAGTGAGTGATGTGATGCCAAAAAGGATTCCGTCTCAGCATATGCTGCCGCAGGTACTGCAAGCGGCGCTGATTTTCAGCGGAGCCCTGATAAATATTAAATTCTCTATTGCGCCCGACTCGTTATAGGTGCTAACTTTCTTTTTTCAAAATAATGAATCAACCATTCACTCAAATTATACATTTTTATACATAAAAGTCAAAAAATACACATACATGCACGTGCATATACAAACTTACACGTTAAAATATGTTATTAGTTTTCGCATAGTCTGACATTTCCCGTAGTCGTCTGTTACGACAACCGCGGGACGAAGTATATCAATGTATTCTTCTTCGCCACCACCACGCGGCTAAATAATTACTGCTGGTGTTTAATTTTTGACGTTCAATGATTAGAAACTTGTTTTATAAATTCAACATAAAGCAGAAAAATAAAATGTTTATTATGTCAGTATATGACCTAGCTTAGAAGCAGTGATAGTGCAGTTGTGGGAGGAAGGCCCTATTCAAACCATATAATTCACACCATTTTATTTTTCACGTGGATCTTAACTAATCAATGTTCACAAGTTTGATATATGATAAATTTCCGCAAAGTAATGTCTTATTTTATTATTGATTATCATTCACCATAAATGTTTCATATAATTTATGTATTATTTCAACGTCTTATGGCCAAATACCAGTAGTGTCATAGTCACTTTGGCTTACGGTGATAGAAACAGCACGAGACTTTAAATCTTAAAATTGAGTAGCGTTAGAGTATTTGGGAATTAGTGAGTTTCTTTCTTCTTTAGTTTATTTCTTCAATTCTTACATCAATTAAAGCTTTTAGTGTTTATTTTTTCAGTCAACCGTGACATGTTGTACACCGTAGATTTTTTTATATATTGTTAACATAACGTTGGTTATTTTAACTGAATTTATTTGTAAAACGTAACTAGAATAGTACTGGTATTACTCAGAAGTCAAAAATAAGTTCATATTTCCGTTAATTCGATGTAAGATCCTGTAAGTAACTTAAACGTTGCGTAGTCAGCTGGTTTCTTGTTTGACTCATACTTTGCGTGACACATTGCTTCATTTAATAGTAGCGTTATGGCAGCTGCTAATTCATTTTTATTACATAGTAATTTTACCACAGAGTTGTTGCCAATTATGGTATGAGATACAGATTTTGTTGTCTAAGTTTTGTGTTGGTTAATGATTGTGTCAGTCTTCTTGAAAGTTTTGATCAAAAGTTTTATTGAATTAACTTGTATAATTAACATTCACGAGTTGTTTATAGTTAAAAGACATATCCTTGCAAAAATAGTTTTTATGACACAAATTACGTTTATTTATTTGGCAAAGAAAAACTTGTTAACCATAATTAAGTAATTTGTGTATCGTTTATATTGCCGTATGAAACTTAACTCCTTTTTATTGTAGGTCTGATTGTGTGATTTAAAAAAAAACGCCGCCTGGAAATAAATAATGATCATATCAAAAATATTTTGTGTAAATATGAACATTAGATAAAAATTATGTATTCGTCAACTACTCAAGTTCTACAAAAATTAAGACAGAACTACGTTATTGACGTGACATTAGTGGATTCTGTTGCATTATGAAATTAAAACATTATCCAGGAAAAGCGGTCATGGAGGACCCCTGGCTTTCTATTAATGATAGGACAATGGACCTTGTTTACGCCGCAAATTGGGTTGGAGCTAGTAATCTCAGCAATTTTAATGAAAATGATAACGGCTCGAACAAGTCTAAATTCAATTCAATATCAAGGAGTAAATCGTGCCGTGATATAGACCGTAGTGACAATGATTATGAAAGCAAAACGATTTCGTTTGAGGACAATGGAAACAAACGCACCCAAGATGCTCCTGGTGAAAATATTTCTCAATTGGCAAAGTATCAACAAAACATAGAGGAGAAAGCTCGCGCAAATAACAATCTTATAGGTCATAATAAATTAAAGCATAGTTACAGTTTCAAAGATATGCCTAATGGATATAGGCCGTCTACATTGCGACGAGTTAAACGCAGAAACTTTACGGAGTGGGATATTGAATCATTTGGGTCTAACGAACGTCAACCACCTATTCCACCGCAACGAAAAGATTCGTTGAAATATGCACACAGACAGAGAAAGGCCGATTCTAAAAAATCTTTACCGTTACCGGATCCCGGTCCAGTACCGCCAGATCCATCATCTGAATCTTATTATGAATATTATTCAAGAGTTAGTCAACTAAATAATAATACTGACAGTGATAAGATAAATCAGCTAGAAAAAGACACGAAAAAAGATCGAAATACCAATGAAGGCGCGAATCAAAACGGCACAGTTCGAGGCTACAGTAATAGTAGTGGTACAATGTATCATCTAATCAATTCAATGGCCACTTTAGATTTAGCACCTATTAAATCGAGATCTGGTAAAAAGAACCCCGACATAGATTGTGAAGCGGAAGATTTAGGCTTATACATGCGGCCTATTAATGAATCGTTATCTACATACGATCAGCCTGAGCGCACCACGCAACAAGAAAACAAACGGAGCGGACGCATGGATGACGTAAAGCCCAGTTTTCGTTCTAAATCTATGCGAGTAAAAAGCGAAGGAAGAGCGCCTCTACGTAGCTATCTCGACTCTGTGCAAAATGATGGTGAAGTGTTTAGTACGGTTACTGTTACTCAACCAAAAAGAAACCTTTCTCCAAGCGAGCAACTAACATTAATGCAGTACGATATGTATAATAGAAGCCATAATCCACCTATAACTCCAATAACTAACGGATACCACTCGGTTGATCTGGGAAAAGAAAGTGACCATCGGACTACAAACGGTGCTTTAAAACAAATCAAACGTGATAGGTATGGGAAGTTATATAATACAGTGAGGGTGAAAAGTGAGGGTAGATATGATAGGTATAATGATATTCTATCATTTGTTCAACCAAAGGATCATATAAGTGAAGAACGTGTGACGAATACAAACGGTGTGTATTCAAGAAGTGCTAAAAGCTCATCTAGTGGCTCCGATTCAGACTTTTCTATTCCGCGTCCTAAATTAATCGTGCCTGTACATACTTACGGAACTAGAAAAAGGAAGACAGGGAATCTTTGTCAGCGTGATAGTAACGCAACAGAGTCTACGCTTGATGCTGGAGTATTGCTTGATGTGACACGGTTGGAAGACTCTAATAATGCGACTGCAGAAGTTAAAGACCCAGGTAAATATCATTCTTTTTCCTATCAGTATGTTCAAAAATAGAATCGTTATAATTCACGCTACCACATATGAGTAAAGAAACCATACGGTTTCTTAACTCATATGACGCTACTACCTTATCGTCTACCGTAATATTTTATCAGATTGTTTTGATCTCACATGTTTACTGATGTTGATCGATGCTCTATATTCTTAAGGCGTGTAATACTTTTGAGATTGTCTTTAATTTCTGTAACTTGGCATGATATTCGAAAGAAATTGATGTATATACTATTCTCTATTCCGTCTATAATATATGTAAGATATGATAGTAATAAATAAAGATTTTTTTTTACTTTTGTTTAAAATGTACCGCACATTTAAGTAGTAATAATAATATGGTTTTATATAAATATTGGGTGCGTTTGGCAGAAAAAAGCGCTAGCAAGCGCTTGTAAGCAAAATGACGATCGTAAGGTAAGCGCTGTCAAATCATAAGTAGCTATTTTCCTCTAGGACACGAAGTTAGTTTTAACCGGGGAACCTAACCTAATTTAAATATATGTTTGTAAAGTGTTCATATTAAAAACTTTCCAATCATGAATTTTTAATAACATGTATAATATGTTTATTCATGATATTACTTAAAACTAATATTGCACAAAACAACTTATAAACTCTACTTCAAAACAAACAAATTAAATAAGTAAAATGGCGGATTGTGTCAACGCTACTGAAGTTAGCAAACGTGTCCTGGCCGAAGACTGTTTAGTTTCGGGATTTTGCTTACAAGCGCTTCCTAGCGCTTTTTTCTGCCAAACGCACCCATTGTTTTAAGAAGTTGATGTCATAACGTGTACGACTGCTTTATTACTCATCAAATTTTTTAAATGAATTATCAACAATATTATAAAACATCTCACTGTACCAATAATCAATTTTACTAAAAAAAATTTAATATATTACGTTGATTACTGTGTTTTATAGTTATATTGCATACTAATAAAACGATGCGTCCGTGAAGCTAGCCTAAACCTAGCCCAATCGACTCAAGGATAGGTGTGGATTTAGTGTTTTTATGTGCTAATTAGTTGCTCTGATCAGGAATTTGTTGCTAATTTTAAGACCGAAATATTGCAAGGCCAACTTTTGTTTGGAAGTATTTTGTATACAAAGTATTCTAGAGACTGCTTAAGTATCCAGCACTCCAGTTGCCCTGCTTACAGTTCTATCTCTTTAGAAGAGAAGCGATTTACGAGCAACTAATTCCTGAGGACTTTTGGAGCTGAAAAAAAGTGTATTGTTTTTTTATTTTATGAGTTGTATGCTTTAGATACTTTTAGAATGATTTCTTGGTACTCTAGTTGTTGGAATACTAATAAAACGATGATGTGACTATCCATACCTTTTTTCCACTTCTTGGCAAGAAGCACAAAGGCAATTTATTTAAGATTCATAAAAATATAGGTTGTGTAACTAAATTGAGATTTAATTGGATCGCGAAAAAAAAACACATTGTCACATTTAACACATTATTAAAAACCTAAACTGGGGTACAGGGCTGTTCATGTGCATTTTAAATTTACGTTGCCAAACTGAGTTCGATCCCCACCGCACCGGCACCGCTGAAATTATTAATAGTAATTTAAGCTCTTATTGAGCACGTGCTCGGCGGTGTACTTGGACCTTACATCATTAAAAAGTCGAGATTATGAGAAAATAAAAAATTTAAAATTTAAAAAAAAAAAACTGTAATGACAAACGAGCTTAAAGTTGACCTGATGGGGAAGTGGTTGCTGCAGTCCAAATGCGTCTGAGTACTAAGATGCACTGCCTCATGGCCATTAATTATACTAACTCTATATCCTTCAGACCGGAACATTTGGCGGCACATACACGTAAGAGGGAGCTACCCAGACAGACTCTTAGGCAGATAAGAAGTCGTACCGCCTAGAAAAATATATTTCAATAATGAGAAATCCGTCACCACAAATTGTAACAACGCGATTGATCTTTTTTTTTTCTAATTCAAATTCATTTATTTATTTGTGAATACAGTAAGTTAGGTGTTATAAAAATTTACAGTAGGTACCGTGTATTCTACCACAGTGTGGTGTACAAATATATTTCTTCACGTTATAGCCAATAACAGCAAAATGGAATACTTTTAAAATTGATTGCAAATTATAAAAATACAATAATCATATTTGTAGGTGGTATTAAATATTCACAAAAATGTTATATATTATAAGTGAAAAGCGTCTTGCAATGATACCCATGACACATAACACATTTCGTAATGGCGCCTTTACGTCTATATTGAAAAAAAAAAAGAAAAAGGTGAAGTAAATAAAAATGTCATCTTTTCAAATTATTATTACTATTATTAAATACACGAGTCAACAATAAATACTGCATCTTAAGCTAATGTCACGTAAGTAAACTATATATATATATATATATATATATATATATATATATATATATATATATATATATATATATATATAAAATCAAAAAATGTCGATGTCATCGGCTCAGACAAAATAAATATTTTGTCTCAGGTCATCGGGTTATCATAATATCATGTCAAATGTATAATATGTGGTATGTCAAATCAAATATAAATATTATACTATTATGTATACCAAAACTTTTATTAAAGCACTAAGGAACTAGGGGATCTAACAGAGAAACATTACTCTGTTTTCTAATACTTACGTGGTAGAGCCACGCTGCAGCTATATTATGGTTGCGAATGGGTCGGCTCGACCGGGGAAGGACCACGCTCTCACAGAATACCAGCGTAAAATAGCAGCTTAATACTGCTGTGTGTCGTATGGTGAGTGTAGAGAAACGGAGACGCTTTTTTACTGGAAACAAGGCATTCCATCTTAGTCCTCGGGGGTGACAACGCATCTGCGTTATGATTCTTAACCGATAAAAAATGTGATGGAAATGGATAAAAGACTTCTAGCCACAACATCTACTTACCATCAAGTGGACTGCGTGCTCGTTTGTCACCCTTATTCTTTAAAAAAATACACGATTGGAATCAGTATTGAAATAACATTATGCAATCTGCGTATAATTACAATATAAACGCTTTGTGTGGACACATAAACTTCTATTATTGCAAGCCTTTGTTTCCACATACAAACATCAAATGTACGTCATACAATTCGTAATATAATGTTTAATTGTATGGTATTCAAACAAAGTGATTCTCAGTAATCGTTCCCGCAATTATGACATGCGCACTACATTAAAGATTCTTGTAGACCAGATGCCTTGAATGTGTCGGAGCCACTTTGCAATACTCTTGGGTATACCAATTAAACTATTCGCTTATGACCCACTTTTAGGCAAATCGTGCATGAAATATTAAAGCAATTTATATCATACAGTTACCGTATTACGTTTTCGATATTTACGACGGTGGTGGTAGAATGAGAAGCTGTAGTGATGATGATGTGAATGTAAACGCCTCAAGTACAAGCTATGCTTGTACAATTATTCGTGTTACGTATTTCTGTCTTTATCACTTGGTAACCGAGTTTAAAAAAACGAGAAGGTTATTCGTCCTAGTAAATCTATATATAGGTAAATTAAATTACAACACAAACAACAAAGTAGGCTGTGTACATATATGTACACACATATATATATGTATGTATATGTATACATCCTACTTCACGCTTACTTTTATAAACTTGTACAACGATTTTCTAAATACATTAAAATTTTGAGAATATCCACAACCCCATATCGTTCCTTGATGTCGTAAGAGGCGACAAAGGTAACAAACCTAGGGATGGGTAGCAACTTATTCCTAAAAACAACAAAAAAAAATTTAAAACTGCGGTTGTTAACAAGACTGTCAAAGTTGGCAACTATAGGTAGTTCCATAGAAACAGAATACTATAATACATACATAATAGAACGGGGGAGTGGGTGGAGCCCGTGTAGCCACTAAAATGCCACTAACACGTCAATTCACACGTGTAAATGTCAACACGAGATGTGTTTTGACGTTACAATCGTTTCCGAATTTCGCATGTAAATTATTTAGAAAATGCCAAATTGCACGCTATTTACAAATAAATATGTATTAAAATCCATCTGTCAACACAGCGAATCGGGTTTGTAGTAGTGATTTACTGATAATACGACGTAATTGCTTGTATGTGTGCTCCGGCGACGCGTATCGTCGTACAAAATAAGGTTGACAGCTATTCTATCGTGTATTATAGTATTCTATGGGTAGTTCACTCTTTAAGAGGCAATCTATAGGTAGGTCTACGTTCAGCACTGAACTTTAATAGGTTGTGACGAATGATGGATGTAGATACTTTGAAATTCATTTGCTCCTTATTGCCTGATTCGGAGGACAAAATAACAGGTTAAGCGATTCGAAGAGCACTCTACGTATGGTTTCTTAAACAAATTTTATTGCAACTGCCACAATGTTATCGCTTACTGAACGACGAAGAAATCGTTAGTAAAGCTGAGCGCGTATTTGAACTTTCGGCCTAAAATAATATGCGTTCCGATTGCAACTTGAGCCTTGAAACACTTTCGTTCTTTGCATCAATAAACAATTTACGCCGGTTTCACAACATGCAAACGCTTAGTTTTAACATGTCCTGTAATAAGTGCGAATCAATTAACGTGAAATTCATTTTAAGACAACTAATCGAAATAAAGTTAAGTTACAGACTATAGGTACGTCCCACTCCTCTGCACGGGCCTTCTATATTTTCTAAGAGGGTTTTAGAGCAAGGAAATGTCCACCACGCTGCTCTAATGTGTTATTGGTACGACTTCACATGTCTTCGAAATTTCTCCGGCATGCAGGTTTCTTTACAGTATTCTTCACCGCCAAACATGTGGCAAATCGGTACTTTAAACTACAATTAACAATTTTACTGGTACTGGCGGTGATGAAACTTGTTTCTCGTATTGTAGTATAGTACGATAGTTAAGACGAGTGCTAATCCCTCGGGTCTCTAAGGGGATAAC